GACAATTACAAAAAAAAAAAACAGTACACAAATTACCGTGTGTGTGTGCATGTGTATGCCTGTCGAAGTATCTGCTGAATAAGTCCGTGCTCAGCATAATGCTGCAGCGGCTGGAGCGCTGCAACGCTGTTTTTCAGCACAAGACCTGGGTTGTTTTCTATTAGGAATTTTAAAATTAATTTCTAATAGGAAATCAAATTTCCACTGTATAACTGTCCGTACTGTATTGTTTTATGTATGTATTTTCATTTCCATATATTATCATAGCATACACTAACAACTCATCAGAATTACCAACAGCGCACGTTCACGCAGGCAACAGTAGGTATACAATTTATATATTTTAAATTAATTTCTACAAGGTTCCACTGAAAATCAGCATTTGGGCATTACAGTCCAGACACAAAGCTGAGCGGAAACCAATTTGGTCGCAGTTGTATAATTAGTTTAGTGGTTAACAACCGCATTACTTCCGAAAATAAGTTCCATTCCTCGTACGGCACAGTCATTTATTTATGAGTATGATTTGTATCGGTCTGGGTATTTTCTATGTGTAACCCGTAACACATACTTTGAGGAAGGCTTTAAGCTATATAACAATAATATATAATATATATACAAATAGATACAGAAAAATATATATATATATATATATATATATATATATATATATATATATACATATTTATGGATTACATATAAATAAAATATTTAATAAACGACATATAATAAATATTCATAGAATCTCATGGAGTTATATCTTGATAGAAGTTTGGCTGAATACTATTAAAGAATAATAAAGGACATGCGAGCGCAGGACCGATCGTCGCGGAGATCTTTGGGGAGGCCTATGTCCAGCAGTGGACGTCTTCCGGGCTGTGATGATGATGATGATGAAAGGACATCCAATAAATAAGAAATAATGAAGTCCACTTGAAGTACAAGTGTAGTATTTATTATGCAGCACGCATTATCAGTGTGACTGAGGCGACACCTAAGTAGTTTATCCTTGGTATTTGCATACAAATCGATTTTCTTCCTTAAGTGGATACAGTCGGCAACAAAAATACCTAACCGTTCATATAATCCGTAGTAGTGATGTGACGTTGTATTTAGAAACCGATTATTTTTAACATAAAACTATTTTTTTCCATAATCGATACCTTTTTCACAACTCTATTTTAAGAGCCTCTTTATGTATGAATGCTCTTAATTCTTTTCAATTCATAACTTGATTTTTTTAGAAATGGAGGAAGACAAAAAGCCGATTAATAATTAATCGACTTTTTCGAATATTAAAGTTGAGAATATGTATAATCGATAATTTTTTCACATCCCTAATCGGTAACTTATTGGTAAAACCTTATTATGAAAGAAAGTCGATACAAATTTGCCAGTGTATATATGTAAATATCTTATTAGTTATTTTAATTAAAAAAAAAAATTATTCCTCCATGATGCTGCTTATGACGGTCTCGGTGGTCTAGAGGTTGGAATAGCTTTACGATTCCAATGATCGGGACTGTACAAACATTTGTATAATTGTGTATAATTGTTTGTCTGTCTGTTTATATATATAATCGTTCTGAGTATTCTATGTAAAATAATGTTTTTACAAAAAATATATATGTATCTATATATATTTGTTGTCTAGTAACCACAACATATGCTCTACTTAGCGTGGGACTAGATGGCGCTGTGTGAATTGTCCTGCAGTTATTATTATATTAACGACAGTTACCACATCCCATCCCATTGATCATCAACGTGTCTGCAGCTCAAATTACATAAAAAAATCATCAGCATTTCTAATTCTTGGTAAATTCAATTCCTCCTACCCCTATAGTAGGATGAAAAGGATCTAACATTACCTTTTGAAGTACAGAACCCAAAAGAATAATATACTACGAAGATCCTAAGACCCTAATAATATTACGGCCATAAATAATACGTCTCTAATCCATATCAAAAAGGGCCACATACAATAACCAACATGCTAGGGTTGCCACAAATATTTGCGGACATTTTTTTTTATATAAAATCTTATATGACCTTTTTTTCTGACTACTCTAATGCTGTTGGCCGCAGCTGGCCTTTACAGCTTCATCGGACGATACGGGGTGAGAGCAGATGAGACCCCAAACCCGCGGAAGGACTTATGGAAAAGCTAAAGGTCAAGTCCTGCCTGAAGGATACGACTTTAGTCTGAGGGCACCGCTAGGGGTTCGAACCTCGGCTCAGGCCGTCGTTACTTCGATCCCCGTTTAAATTGGACGGGGAATCAATCAGACACGGATATAAGACATATCTTTTTGTATGAATCTCAATTGTAAAATCTAAATTTGTGGCAAACAAAAAACGGAACCGAATTTGAATCTTGAAAAAAACATGAAAAAACTATTTATAGTTCCTCTCATAGAAAGTATTGTAACTATTACATAAATTCATATGTAAATGTAAAAATAACATAATTACAATACTTACAATTACAATATTGCAATCTTGGTATATGCACAATATACAATATTATCTTATCTGTACACCCTGAAACTTAATACAGGCCCAAAGAGTCGAGAGAGACCCCTATTCACTTGCCAGTCCGTTGTCAAAAACGACGTGAAGAAAACGGAAGCAACCAACTCGACGACCTACCATAAATGTACCTGCCGAAGAAAGACAAGGAGAGCCGACCCCAAATGATATGGGAACAGCTAGACAGAGCTCTCTCTCTGTCTAGCTAATTCCCATATCAAAATATTGTATATGTTTCTAACAATCTATACATATAAATAAAATTGGAGTGTCTGTCTGTAATATTGATATACCCATTTTTTACTAAATGCATATACATATAAATACGGTACATACACCAAAATAACATTTTTTACAATTTTTATCTCTGAAATGGCTGGACCGATTTTGACGGGACTTTTTTTGGCAGGTAGCTGATGTAAAAAGGAGTAACTTAGGCTACTAATATTTTAGAAAAATAAAGTAAATTCCACGCTGACGAAATCTCGGGTACAGCTAATACCAAATATAAAAATAACATAAAGAAAATACTTACAATTACAATCTTGCAATCTTGGTATATGCACAATCTATATCTACGTATAAATAAAATTAGAGTGTCTGTTTGTTATATTGAAATAACCGTTTTTTTACTACATGCATATGAATATACTAATCTCTGAAATGGCTGGACCGATTTTGACGGGACTCATTTTGGCAGTAGCTGATGTAATAAGGAGTAACTTATTACTTGTATTTTAGAAATCTTATTTTATGTTAGAAAAATAAAATTAAATTCCACGCGGACGAATTCGCGAGTACAGGTAATAATAAAATTCGCTAAACTAAATAGTGGCAATCCTAGTAACACGTAGGCATAGATAACAAATTTCCTTTGATATTTCTTCACTAATCAATGTTAGCTGTTAGATCCGATATAATTAGTAAGACCCGTCAAGTAATGCTGTACCTGAGATGAGATATATAATCATCGTTCATTTAATGCCTGCTCTTGATAAGGGATGCTTCAGATCAAATAATAAAAATATAGCCATTATGTTACCATTCTAAATCTATACATATAAATAAAGTTGGTGTGTCTGTTTGCAATATTGACATAACCGTTTTTTACTACATGCATATGAATATATATACAAAAATTAAATTAAATTCCACGCGGACGAGTACAGCTTTTTAAATGATTATTATATTAAATGATAAAAATATAGACTTTATGTTACCATGCTAAATCTATACATATAAATAAAATTGGAGTGTCTGTTTGTAATATTTAAATAATAGTTTTTTACTACATGCATCTAAATATATTGATATAACTCATAGGTGACTGATATAGTGATCTATCAACGCACAGCCCAAACCACTGGACGGATCGGGCTGAAATTTGGCATGCAGGTAGATGTTATAACGTAGGCATCCGCTAAGAAAGGATTTTGATTAATTCTACCCCCAAGGGGATGAAAGTTTGTATGAAACTTCGTCAATTTTAAACCGATCGGGCTGAGACTTTGCTTGCATTAAGCTACTATGACGTAGCAATCCCTAAGAAAGGATTTTAATAAATTCCACCCCTAAAGGGATAAATTAAAGCGAGCGAAGCCGCGAGCAAAAGCTAGTATGAATATAAATACGGTACATACACCAAAATAACATTTTTTACAATTTTTGTCTGTCTGTCAGTCAGTCTGTTTCTTCCGGCTAATTCTGTAATGGCTGGACAGATTTTGACAAGACTTTTTTTTGGCAAGTAGCTGATGTAATAAGGAGTAACTTTTAATTCAGAAAAATCACGCGAACGATGTCGCGGTAACAGCTAGTAAATAATAAAATGAAAACTTCTATCGTAATACCTAATTGTAGACCATCCATATCTCGTCCGTGGAATAAATAATTCATTACACTAATTTACAATTTACAATTCAAATAAATTCCTAATTCACACTGTAATTAATAGATTCAAAATTCATAACGGGCCTTCATATCTCGTAATGTTAATAAAATGGATTGCTCAATCCGATTTTCTTTATTTCTTATATTTTTGTTCGACTTTCTAAATAATCGTCTGCTGTGAGACAGAGGTAGCCAACCGTCGTTTGCTTGGGTACCCCTGTCTGACCAATTTCAAGCAGATTTTTTTGCCTCTGCTCAGGCCGTCGCAGGCTACTTGCCTATTGGCAAGTAGCTGACTGAAAGTCCCGTCAAAATCGGTCCAGCCATTTCAGAGATTAGCCGGAAGAAACAGACAGACAGACAGACGAAAATAGTAAAATATGATATTTTGGTGTATTTACCATATTTATTTTCATATGCATGTAGTAAAAAACGGCTATTTCAATATTACAAACAGACACTCCAATTTTATTTATATGTATAGATAATGTTGTAAAAGATGGGAGTATAAAATATTATTATCATCTTTACACAAATTAGTACATTAATGCTAAAAAAACCACAATTCTTCTTATAAATTAGTTTTTATTATTCTGAATGTTTTCCACTATCCAATCAATGAAATTTATCAGAGCGGTGTACTTTATGTCTCTCTCCACGCATATCCTTCTCGCCGTCGGGTCCCCAGTTCGAATACCGTGCAGGTACCATTTGTTGTCCGTGTGTTTTGTCGCGTGCAGACCTCCGTAACTGGGACATAATGCTACATCTGCAAAAAAAATTATAATTAAGTAGGTACAATTTTTGATTAAAAATTAATAAAAAGTATTTCAATTTTTATTATTTACTCTTAACCATTTTTTTTAATAATAATAACAATATAAAACTATGTGCACAGTAAACTATTTAAAAAAAAATGAAGTGTTTATAAATATGCTAAAAAGGGGCCTTATCGCTTAATGTAATCTCGTTTGTTATAAACATAAAGAGAAACGACTTTATTTTGTATGTTCGTTCATTTGTTTGTTTGTGGATAAATTAAAAAAATATTTAACCGATTTAAGAACTTAGCTAAGTTAAGCTAACAGCTACAGCTTAATCTAAGCAAGTAATATATGCTGTATTGCACACGGACAATAGGTTACACCTACTTTTATATATATATAAAGAGTAGAACGAACAAACTTGATATAATGCCCTATTTTAGTTAAAGACAAATAACCATAAATTAAATAAAATTCCTACAATACATTCTCATTTCGTTGCCTGTTAATTTACCCACGTCACTAGACTTATACATACTACACAGTTACTTACATTATCTTTAGAAATAACAGAAACTCTCAAGGAAAGCACCTGTTATTTATCTCAGCCACAATCGGACAGTAGTAAACAAAAAGAAACTATGTATTTTATTTTACATCTTACCATCGCCGTAAGTAGCGCAAAACGTATTTTCCACTTTATTCTCCTGGTTACAAGCTCTACTTTTCTCTTTATCAAAATATATTGGCGTTAAGTCCCCAGAAAGGCTCCATGCAGTAGTCTGGAATAAAAATATTTCTTTTGTTAGCGCCTAATGAAAAGGGCGTAGCAACATTTCACTAGCAGAGAGAAATTGTAGTGCGTATCTTCGCTATGACCAATACGGCAGGCGCTAAGTGACCATTGTGTAAAGTGGATGGAAATGTTGATTAGTGTAATTTATATTTATTTTTAGAAACAAATATATTCTATATACCATATTTCATGATTAGACTGACTAAAACTGACCAGATGGATGATAATAATGATTTTAATGCTTCATTTGTAAATCTTATTATTATTGTAAATTATTGTAAACTTGAAAGTTTGTCAGTACACATGAATGGAACGTAAAGTCATTCACGCAAAAATTACTGAACGAATTTTGATGAAACTTACAATTTCATGCTGATGAAACCACGGGCACAACTGTTATTTAATATAATACAATTATTAATACTACATATTATAGCCATTTATTAACATTGTGGAATCACCTTCCAGCAATGGTATTTCCGAACCGATACGATATTGAAACCTCCAAGAAAAGACCTTTTTAAAAGGCCGGCAAAGCATGCAATTTATTTGGTTTTGCGGTTGGTCTGCGGTTATACCATCAGGTGAGCCGCAAGCAACAAGCCGCAAATTCGCTTTTATAATATTAGCATATTATGTTATCTGTGATATTAGTATGTATGTTGTTTATATATAAGTTAATAATCTCTCTATTTATTACTAGTATTTACATAACCTAATTGTACAACTAAGAACCTAAAATTAAAAAGCTTAAAAAAAATATATAATATGATGACTAAAATATATTATTAAAAGGGGTCCCTTTAGGTAACGTTCCGAAGATACTGGCAGCGTTCCCTCTTTGAATGGCTAGACTAATTCTTTGTCCGAGGTAGCTGCCAGCTCTTCGGTCTTCTGCGATGTCGCTAACCTTTTCGTTAGTTAAGTTAATAATAATGTTTGTTAATTACGTTTGACAATAAAAGTTTTTTTCTTTCTTCTTTCTTTCCAATATTATATTATCTGTGATATTAGTAAAAAGTAATATAAATTACTAACCCCCGTTTGCTGATAATCAATAATGATGTCTTGTTCACCAAACATACAAGCGGCGCCTACGTCCTTGTTAAAATCAGCCGGCTCCCTCAACACAAGTATAGCTAAATCATTCTCAACGACGCCATCTTTTATTATATAATTTTCATGTAGAATTATTGATTTTATCTGAAAAAATACATTTAGGGTTATTCGTAAATGGAATAGTCAAAAATTTAGTAGACTGCTCATGAATAAAAATAAATAAATGTATTAAAATAATAATAATATCTCAGAGCAATTAACACGGCGTCATTTAGTCACACGGTAAGCAGAGATTGTGTTATGGTACTAGACAACTGATATAGAATACACAGATAGATTTTTTAAAATACATACATAATATACATAGAAAACACCCAGATCGATACAAACAATCATACTCATGAATACAAATGTTTGCATCGTGAGAGGAACGAACCCGCGACCGGCGGAAGTAAAGCGGTGTTCCAAACCGCTAGACCACCGAGGTCGTTATGTTATCATTGGATGTCGGTGGTCTAGATGTTTAGCATACCGCCTTGCTTCCGATGTTCGTGGGTTCGATTCCTTGCATGATACCAATATTTGTTATACATGATTGTTTGTATTGGTGTGTGTCTTGTCTACTAACCTTATAAACTTTTTCGTTTCCGCTCACAGAGTGCAAGGACTTCTTACCAAGTATAACGATCAAATCTTCCGGGTCGATGGTAGTTTTGGTAGGATTGGTAGTTACACATCTGCCAGCTGCGAATGGAAGGATTTTAATTTCTGTATTAGCTCACTGCAGCACGGATAAAGTAATAGTATGTAGGTACAGTGATACTCAAAGTGCGTTTAGTTGGGGCCCAGCTGGGCCCCGTTTATGAGGAGTTTACTGTATAATTTAATATTCAATGGCAAGGCATAAATTATATGTAAACTTTCTGAATTATACAGTAATCCCTTTCACTTAATTCATATTTTATATTTATATTATACTTTACATTTTAATCAATAATTTTTAAATAAACAAATGACTAGTAACCAGGAGCAAAATAATATTTTTATTAAATATTAATCTATAAAGAATATTTCAGTGAGAATTAGTTGTAAAACTTTTACACTTAAAATCATCCACGTGACGGAAATGTATTCATTTAATGCGATAAAAAGAAATCCAAACACATATATAAATCATTTACCTACCATAGATAGAAAATTTTATAAACAAAAATTCGGTGGTTAATGTGTAAAAGCTTACAAACAAACAAACGAACTTTCACAATTATACAAATCATTCTGACTAACTAATTGCCAAGATTTTAATGATTTCAGCAGTTTACATGCATAGATATCAAAACAATCCAGTAGCTTCATCTAATTTACCATTTTACATATTAATAATGCATGTGCATTATTAATATTATATTCTTATTAATATTAAAAACGCGAAAGTTTGTGAGTATGGATGGATGTTTGTTACTCTTTCACGCATAAACTACTGAACGGATTTTGATTAAATTTTACAATAACATAGCTTATACATCAGAATAACACATAGACTATAAATTTCATGCGTGAGAATCCGCGGGCACGGCTAGTTATTTCTATAAAAATAAAAATACTTTGTGCTTGTTTATAGCTACATTCAAATACGAAAGAGGACCGTCTACAGAGAAGTTTGAGAACCACTGCCTTAGTAAATAGATATATTCTTTTTAGACCGTTTCAGAAAACCGCTTCGTCCTATTTGCAGACGTCTGCAACGATTTCTATTGATTTTACAGAACTTACCTCTGAAAAGTAGCGAACTGTTTTACCTTTATTTTATTCGATTGGAAACTCATATATAATATAAATAGAGATAGAGATAGAGATAGAGATAGAGATAGAGATAGAGATAGAGATAGAGATAGTGATAGAAATAGAAATAGAAATATAAATTATTTTAGTTATTTATACACTTTATTGCACCAGATATATATACATATTAATTAATATAAAAATATATAAATATAATAATGAATGCAAAAGGCGATCACTAAACAATGTCTGAGAGACAACCTTTAGGTATACGGTGAAGATATGAGAAAAGAGTAGGTTTTGCAAATGATAACACAACTAATATATAAATAATACATGAAAATATACATTATGAAATATAAAGGGTGTCCCAGAACACAACGTCAAGCCGAAAAGGGGTGAGAGGATTGAGAAACCATCATGAGAAAAAACATAAAATAAATCTATCCCATGCAGTTTGAAAATTATGGGCATTTAAGAAAAACCTAGAAATTTGGTCAGACTGTAAACATTTTCCGGTTATTTTTCATATCCCTTAGTAGTAAGGGAGGAGGATAGATATATATGAAGGAGGACTACTGGCCGAAGGCCAGTACTGTACTGTACTGTATCGGCGCTACCGTGGCAGATTGCCGTCGTCAGTGCCGTGACCATAGAGACAATTTTATTTACATATTTTATTATTATTATTACTTATGAATGTTAGTCTATAAGGTATTTATAATATGGGCCATGTAGCCTGAATTAAATAAATAAATAATAAGCTGAACATGAGGTCAGGTCAGTTAGCCCTTCGTGACAAATTCACCAGGAATTTATCATGATGGTTTCCGGGAGGAACCGCGTGGAGGTCAACCTGACATGGTACATTGCTAGTAATGGGGTCGAGTCCACACTACTAACATACACCTTTCCCCCTTAGTAATAAGGGCTGTCCACAGCTAACATTATTTTTTAATTTTTGGACATAATTTTTATTTTTTTATAATGTGGCATTAAAAAATACATACAACCCTAACTTTTCACCTTTCTATCACCAACCCTTATGTATTTTATAATATACTAGCTGTGCCCGTCACCCGCATTAACAATCAATCTTCTTAAATATACATATATAACTCAAAGGTGACTGACATAGTGATCTATCAACGCACAGCCCAAATCACTGGACGAATCGGGCTGAAATTTGGCATGCAGGTAGATGTTATGACGTAGGCATCCGCTAAGAAAGGATTGTGATTAATTCTACCCCCAAGGGTAAGGGGATAAATAGGGGATGAAAGTTTATATGAAACCTTGTCAATTTTAAACCGATCGGGCTGAGACTTTGCATGCATAAAGCTACTATGACGTAGACATCTCCTATGAAAGGATTTTGATAAATAAATTAACCACCCCTAAGGGGATAAATTAACGCGAGCGAAGCCGCGAGCAAAAGTTAGTATAAAATATAGCCTCTGTATTATTCTAATCCACAAGCTATATTACTGTGAAGTTTCAATCAAATTCCGTTTAGTTGTTTTTGCGTTAAAGAGCACCAAACATCCGAGAGTTTGTAAGTATGGACTTACAAACTTCGCATTTATAATATTAACTAGCTACTCGCCCGGCTTCGTCCGGGTGTACATGTATTATATATATAAACCTTCCTCTTGAATCACTCTATCTATTAAAAAAACAGCTTCAAAATCCATTGCGTAGTTTTAAAGATTTAAGCATACATAGGGACAGACAGCGACAGCGACTTTGTCTTATACTATGTAATGACTTACTCTAACAGAGTAAGCTGAGTAGAGCGGAACGTATTTATCTTATATATAAAATTCTCGTGTCACAGTTTTCGTTCCCATACTCCTCCGAAACGGCTTGACCGATTCTCATGAAATTTTGTAAGCGTATTGAGTAGGTCTGAGAATCGGCCAACATCTATTTTTCATCCCCCTAAATGTTAGGGGTAGTCCAACCCTCAATTTTTTTTTTATTTTAAGGCAAAACAACGTTTGACGGGACAGCTAGGTTACGGTAAAAAATCTATTAGTATTGAAGAAGATTTCTATCGCACTTGGGTGAGGAATCTCTATTCAGAAACCTTGCGTGGGGACACGATGGAATGAATACTGAATAATTAGTAAATGTAGAAAACCAGAAATGTATGTGATGATAAGATACAGATTATATATATAATATTAATATTATACCTACATTTATACCTTAAGAGAAACGCATATAACGTAAAATTACGTTACAATCTGTAGAATTTCTTTCCCGCTGTGTAATCAGATTTAGTTGGGCTTCATTTATTACTGTCACTCTCCAGCGGAAGGTTTCATATACTTGTATGTTATACATAAATCATATTTTACATCTATACATGCATGTAATAAAAATATTACCCATTACTGTCTGTATATCTACACATATAAATAAAATTGGAGCGTCTGTTTGTAATATTGAAATAACCGTTTTCTACTACATGCATATGAATGTGAATACTGTACATACACCAAAATAACTTTTTTTACTATTTTTGTCTGTATGTCTGTTTGTTCCGGCTAATCTCTGAAATGGCTGGACCGATTTTATTTTTGGCAGGTAGCTGATGTAATAAGGAGTAACTTAGGCTACTTTTATTTTAGAAAAATAAAGTTAAATTCCACGCGAACGAAATCGCGTGAATAGTTAGTAATAAATATATAAGAAAAACTGTTAATAATAATAATAACAATCTCGGTGGTCTAGCGGTTTAGATCCGATTGTCGCACGTTCGATTCCTCGCACGGTGCAGACTTTTCTATTCATAAGTATGATTGTTTGTATCAGTCTGGGTGTTTTCTATGTATTTACTAAAAACAATATATATCTATGTATTTGTCAGTTATCTAACACCCATAACACAAGCTTTAACTAGCTTAACTTGGGTCTAGATGGCGCTATGTGAATTGTCCTGAGATTATTATTATACAATCAGGTTGATCTCTACACGGTTCCCTCTGGAAACCATGATAAATTCTTCGTGAATCTGTCACGTTGGGCTAACTAATCTGACCTCATGTTCATCTTATCATCCTCCGCTGGTACCAGCGTAAACTTCACCATTCTATTATCATCGTTAAAAAAAACTTTAGTCATAAAACAAAATAGTAACACCAACAGGTCGGCGATTACCTCAGTGGTTAGGAAGCATCAGTTCGCAATGACTTTGACCATAAACTCACGATGTTATTTAGGCCAATTACACCCGTTAATTACTACAAACTTATAAATTTCCCTCGAACAAAGCTCTAACTTTGTTATTTGTTACTGAAGTTCCAAACGACAAGAAGTTAATTCATTTTGGAGTTGTCAAAACTCTTATTTACAGAACCTGAATAGGGTAAGAACCAATTTAATTAGTTTCAACTATATATTATCATACTTTAAAAACGATCTTAAAGACTTAACAGTTAAATGGGATTATTAAAAGACCTCCTTAACAGTTAAGGTAACTCGTCAGGTAAATGCAAAGTTGTCCATTAAAAAATATCATAATTAAAAATATCTTTATTCATGTAGGTCTATTATAGACTCTTATGATATCAAATCTACCGTCAGTTCGGTTTTTTTTATAACACAACGAGCATGCGGCTCACCTGATGGTAAGTGATTACCGCCGCCCATGAGCACCCGCAACACCAGGGGAATTGCAAGTACGTTGTCGGCCTTTTAAAAAGGAATAATCTCTTTTCAATGGCTCGAGTCTGTCACAAAGACGTTGATTACCAAAAATTCTGGCTGCTCAGTTCTGAATACGGTTAAATGGAAGCAACGGAATGATTTCGGGATGAACAGAACTGATAAGAAACACAGCTCGTATTGCTTTTTCAAATAAATGTTGTACATGTTTATAATAATATATTATAGAAACATTTTCATTCATATTAAAAGAAGTTGTTATAATAACCCTAGGTATATATATTAATAGATATATATTTGTATAAGTTTGTTATTTTATATAGAAGCTTTAGTACTCGAGCTACATACTAGATGGCGCTGTGTTAAAAGTAGACGTCGATATGGTTTCGTTGTATTACTGTGTATATATGTACGCCATTTTGTAAAAATAAACCCTTTTTAAGTTCAGCAATCCAACATCGCTGGTTGTTTTATTTATTCACACCAGAGGACGCTGTAGTAGTCCAGAGTTTAGTGTTGGGTTGTACATTTTTGGTCCAAATTCGAGCCGAATGCCGATCTTCCCCAGTATTAAGTGGTAATATGGCGGAAGATAGAACCTAGTAGGGACAGTGGTTCGCTACTCGGTTTACAATCGGAGGACATCGGAGTTGCTAAGCGCTCAAGGAGTGAGCGAGACAGCAGATCTGAAGACGGCGTTGGAGTGAGAGGTCAGAGGCGAGCCAACGACGTCACGGTAACCTTGAAATGTCACATGGTGTGACAAGTGCAAGTGCAGTTGCAGTAATATTGTGGTGGTGTGAGTGAAACGGAAAATATTGTGAGTACATTTAAATTTATTTACGGAAGTTACGCGAAATTGAACTTTCTATTTGAGGAAAAATAAGGTTGGAAGTTATATGGACAATAATAATTTAGAAAATAATTATTATATAACATTTAGTAAAATTTGTAACACTTTTAATAGTTTTAAGAAAAGAGTTGATACGGAGAACCTATGTCTGATTTTTTATTTATTACGTTCTAACACTTGTAAAATTCTTAACTGTAAAACTGAATTTAGAGTAGTTTATAGTTTGAATTTTAATTTATATAGTAATATGTCAGAAACATAAAATAATTTGTTGAGTATGAACATTTAGGAACTTAGTACAATTATTTTCATTTGTATTTTTTACGTAAAAATTGGCCTTAGTATATTTTTATAGTTTGAATTTTCAATTGAATAGTAATAAACCTACATAGAATAAATTGTTAAGTTTATAAATTTAGGGACATTTTCTTTATTTGTTTTAGAATATTTTTTATAGTTTCGATTTTCAATTGTGTAGTAGTATACTGGGAACATATAAGAATTTGCTAAGTTTAAAAATTTATAAACTTAGTACAATTTAAAACTTATATTTTTTACTTTCAAATTGAACTTAGAATATTTTATAGTTTGAGTTTTCATTTGTGTACTAGTATATCGGTGACATAGAATAATTTACTAAGTATAAAGGTTTAGAGACTTAGTACAATTCTTGTTACTTTTAACTCTTTAAAATATAATTGTAATTTCTGTAATTAAATAAGATGGAAGGTTTATTGAATTGTCAAAGAGACAATTTTAATAGAATATCAAAGGCACAAATTAACTTTAAAAAATCTCCGAAAGACCGAATAACGGAGTCATATGTAGAAACTAAACTGGATAATATAGAACAGTTGTGGGTTGAGTTTCTCACTACACATCAGCAAATACTTAAGGATTATAAGTGGGAAGATGTACAACGTACTTTTTATGTTAAAGATGAAATATATGACAAAACTGAAGAAATATTTTCTGATTATAAAAGCACACTTAAAAGATATTTAAAAAGTTTTAATGAAAATAAAATTAGTAGTGGTGATAAAGATTCTGGTTCTTCTAAAGCAGGCAATGGGTCCTCTTCTGCGGTAAAACTTCCGAAAATAATTATTCCGCAATTTTCAGGAAAATATACGGAGTGGTATTCCTTCAGGGATTTGTTTATTTCTTTGGTTCATTCTAATAATTCAATAGATGATGTACAGAAGTTACATTATTTAAAGGGGCATTTGACCGGAGAAGCGGAGCAATTAATTAGACATGTTCCGATTACTTCTGCAAACTATATACAGTGTTGGCAACAGTTAGAGAATAGGTACAATAACAAGCGATATTTGGCAAATTGTATTTTAAAAAGATTGTTTAGCCAAAGATCATTAGGTAACGAATCCGCATCAGTTTTAAAAGAGTTACTAGATACTACAACTGATTGTATACACGCGTTAAAAAATTTGAATATAGATGTTAGCACATGGGATATTATTATAATACACATTATAAATTATAAACTAGATCAGGAAACACGCAAACAATGGGAATTGAAAATATCAGCTGAGAATTCAAATGAACTACCCACTTTCAATCAATTTTCAGAATTTCTTCAAAGTAGATTTCGGGCTTTAGAATGTATAGAACCAAAACAGCGATCTTCAATTCCTAGTAGCGGGTCTTATCCTAAAACTAAAACTTGTATGCACGTGGCTAAAATAAATTGTGAATTCTGTTCGGAAACGCATAAATTATGTTTCTGCAAAAAATTCGCAAAATTAGATTATACTCACCGTTATGAATTTGTAGCTAAAAATAGTTTGTGTTTCAATTGTCTTGGAGGCAACCACTCTGCCAAGTTCTGCCAGAGTACTACTATTTGTAAAGTTTGTAAACGTAGGCATCACTCTCTCTTGCATCCACAGAAAAGGGACCATTTAGAAATTTCAGGTTCTGGTAATTCAACAAATAAAGTCGAAAGTAAAGATAAAAAAGTAGATATAGATAGTGGGGAAACATCTAGTAATATAGTTTCATGTTTTTCTGCTGGTCAAACTGCAGTTCATAGTCAAGTATTGCTTGCCACCGCACTCGTTCAAGCTGATACTCAAACCGGGGAGAGTCGGGTTATAAGGGCGTTACTGGATCAAGGTTCACAAGCATCCTTCATCACAGAAGCGACCGCTCAATATTTGGGGGTAAAGAAAATTCCAGTACAGGGAACGATATCTGGTCTAGAAGGAAATAAAAATGTAACTGCCAAGTATATGGTCCAGCTGAAGATACGCTCACGCATCAAACCTGAAATAATTATCATGGTGCAAGCATATGTACTGAAAACAATTACTACTTTTCTACCAAATAAGAAAGTAGTTGAATTGGACTGGTTGGATTTAAATGAAATACAACTTGCAGATCCTCAATATCACACTCCAAACAAAATCCATATTTTGTTGGGAGCTGAGATATATGGACAGATTATTGAAGATGGGGTTAAAAGAGGACCTCATGGTACACTAGTGGCACAAGCTACGTCGCTAGGATGGATACTTTCTGGTACAATAAAGGAAGCATCATTTAGATCAGTAACTAATGTTACAGCCTTGCATTTATGTACGCATGAGAATGATTACCTTAAAAAATTTTGGGAAATTGAAAGTGATCCTTATACTTTAAAACGAATCTTGACAGAAGAAGAAATACTCTGTGAACAACTATATAAAGAAACTACAAAACGAGACAGTGAGGGACGATATATTGTCAAACTCCCATTTAAGTCTGAAAATCTGCAATATATTAACGGAAACTCGAGAGATATAGCTACAATACGATTGAAGAGATTAATGGTGAAATTAAATAGAGATGAGACACTGAAAGAAAAGTATACAGAGATTATAAAAGAGTACTTACATCTAGAGCACATGGAAAGGATACCAGAAACAGAAAAAGAAAATAGATTAAGTTTCTACTTACCTCATCATGCAGTGATAAATAATGCCAAAGATACAACAAAGGTTCGCGTAGTATTCGATGCTTCTGCAAAAAATGAATATGGTGTATCATTAAACGAGTTATTAATGATAGGGCCAACACTTCAGCCAGAGTTGCGCCATTTAATCATGCGGTGGAGAATATATAAGATATGTTTAGCTGCTGATATCAACAAAATGTATCGGCAAATTAAGGTGTACGAACAAGATGCAGAATTTCAGCGAGTACTATGGGGAGATAATGAAAATGGAACAATTGAAGATTATAGATTAAAAAGACTTACCTTTGGTACGGCTGCTGCTCCTTATCTAGCTGTAAGGACACTGCAACAAGTTGCATTAGATGAAGGCGATAATTGTCCAAGTGTAGTTCAAAGAGTAAAAAACGACTTCTACATGGATGATCTTCTGACAGGCTGTGATACTGTTGAAGAAGGTGTTATTATTTATCAAGAAATGAATCAACTATTACAAAAAGGTGGATTTCAACTGCAAAAATGGATGACTAACAGTGAAGATTTGTTAAATGAAATAAAGCAGGGAAATGAACATGCACAGGAAGGGTTGAAGATAAAGTTAGATGAAGTAGTTAAACTTTTAGGACTTACCTGGAATCGTTCAGCAGATACCTTTCAATATTCGGTGAATCTTCCTCCGGTGTCTGGACCTGTAACAAAAAGAAAGATTATCTCAGAAATAGCAAGATTATTTGATCCGCTGGGTTGGGCAGCCCTAGCGTGATTATAGCAAAGGTATTAATTCAGAAGCTTTGGATCTTGGGAATAGATTGGGATGATGAAGTTCCAAATAATATAATTAATGAGTGGCATACTTACCGCACAGGCTTGTCGGAGCTAACAAAAATTAACATACCGAGATGGTTCGGAACTAAATTCACATCTTCACGAGTCGAGTTACATGGCTTCTCAGATGCGTCGAAGATAGCATATTCAGCAGCCGTTTATATACGATTAACAGACGAACATGGTAATATCCATGTCACTTTGGTTTCTGCTAAGACCAAAGTCGCGCCAATCAAACAAATTTCAGTCCCTAGATTGGAATTATGTGGTGCCGTATTGGTGACACGTCTTTTGGTCGAGGTAGCTGAAGTTTTAGGCATCCCTAAAAAAGACATTCGAGCCTGGACTGACTCTACGGTGGTTTTAGCGTGGCTTAATAGCCATCCAAGTAAATGGCAAACCTTTGTTGCCAATAGAGTGTCCGAGATCTTGTCAACTTTAGATTCTCAACAATGGGCACATATAACATCAGGACAGAATCCTGCCGATTGTGCTTCTCGAGGTGTTAGTCCATCAGATCTATGGCAAAATTCAATGTGGTTTAACGGACCGGAGTTTTTACATAAACATGAGGTGCATTACAATAAACCAAAGGATATTGCAACACATTTAGAAGAAAGTAAAGTACACCTAACAGTCACTGAAACTACACTTTGGGATCGATACAATTCATTGACAAGATTAATTCGAGTAATATCATACTGTAAACGTTTTTTAAATCTACGTACCGGACAACAGCGACAGAGTACTACTTTTCTTTCAACACAGGAATTGGCGGGTGCTTTAAAAACTTGCATAAAAATTTGCCAAAAACAAAATTTCCATGAAGAAATAGCTCAGATTAATAAAAATATAGAGTACAGTACAGTTAAGGGTCCGCTGAAATCGTTAAATCCGTTTATTGATAGTTCTGGAGTTTTACGAGTAGGTGGGCGACTTGAAAAATCACAACTCAATTTAGATGCTAAACACCCTATATTATTGCCAAAAAATTCACCATTTACAAAACTTATTATTGCTGATGCGCATACGAAAACTTTGCATGGAGGACCACAACTTATGTTGTCCTTTATTGGGACTAAATATTATATTTTGAGTGCGAAATATTTAGTTAAAGCCTATGTTCGCAAGTGTGTTAAATGTATTCGCTACTCTGCAACTACTTCTACTCAATTAATGGGTCAATTACCTACAGCTAGAGTATCTCCAGGAAGACCCTTTCAGTGTAGTGGTGTTGACTATGCAGGTCCTGTGAATGTTAAAACTACAAAGGGTCGCGGTTATCATTCTACAAAAGGATATATTTGTCTATTCATATGTATGGCCACTAAGGCGATACATCTTGAGTTGGTTGGAGACCTTACCACACAAGGGTTTTTGGCGGCTTTTAGACGTTTTGTTGCTCGCAGAGGTTTATGTACAGATATTTGGAGCGATAATGGAACAAATTTTGTTGGCGCCTCGCGCGAATTACGAACTTTGTTCGCTTCTGAGAATAAAAAAATTTCAACAGAGGTAGCCGAAATTCTAGCCACACAAGGTACTACGTGGCATTTTATACCACCACGCTCTCTAATTTTGGAGGGTTATGGGAAGCCGGGATAAAATCTACCAAATTTCATCTAAGGCGAATAGTTGGAGATTTAATTTTAACTTACGAGGAATTGTCCACAACTTTAGCACAAATAGAAGCGTGCTTAAATTCACGTCCACTATCCAGAATAGACTCAGAACAGGATACAATAAATGTTTTGACACCAGGGCATTTCCTCATCGGAGGACCATTACTAGCTCCTACAGATTACAACTTTGAAAGGTCCAACATATCTAATCTTCGTAGGTGGCAGTTGGTTCAAAGATTGACGCAAGATTTTTGGAGGCGTTGGTCTCAGGAATACCTTACACGGTTTCTTCATCGGTATAGGTGGTCACATCAAAAACCAGAACCTGACGTTGGGGATGTAGTTTTAGTAAAAGAAGACGACTTACCTCCTTGTCGATGGTTGCTCGGGAGAGTGGTTGCTAAACATCCAGGCATGGATAACATCACTCGGGTAGTTACTATTAGGAATCAGAATTCACTAATTAAACGCCCCACTTCAAAGTTATGTGTACTGCCTATTACAGAGTAAATTGTTATTTTTTTATAGTGTTAGTGTTGATTTACTCATTTTTAGTTAATTAATTATTTAGTTTATATTTTTTAAGCCCTACCATCTATAGTTTAGTTGTTTATAATATGTTATTGCCCTACATTTGTTATTACGTATCCATGGTGGGCGGCTCCAAGTGTGAAGGACAAATCATGTCCTTGGTGGGCGGAATGTATAAGTTTGTTATTTTATATAGAAGCTTTAGTACTCGAGCTACATACTAGATGGCGCTGTGTTAAAAGTAGACGTCGATATGGTTTCGTTGTATTACTGTGTATATATGTACGCCATTTTGTAAAAATAAACCCTTTTTAAGTTCAGCAATCCAACATCGCTGGTTGTTTTATTTATTCACACCAGAGGACGCTGTAGTAGTCCAGAGTTTAGTGTTGGGTTGTACAATATTTATATCAATACTGTTTGTCAATAAAAAAAAAAGAAAAAGAAAAAAACGATTCAAACAATGACATTCATGAATACATCAAACATTTGCATCGCCGAACCCAAACCGCGGCCATCGGGATTGGAAGTATTACGTGCAGTTTACTAATTCACCATAACATATATTTTTTAATATACGATATATTGTATTTATAATGAATATTGAGAATCATGAAACACTTTTATATTATACTAGCTACTCGTCCCGGATTCGCACGGGTGTATATATATTTTAAGTTTTTTTTTAGGTTTTAGATATTTATTCTCATTAAGAATTACAAATAATTCATTTAACATGAGAACTAAAAGTATAAACTTATATTAAATATTAGTGGAAATACAAAAGAAGGTGTATATAATGCAGACGGTGCAGTAACAAAGTCTAAGCAGTAACTACCCGCATAAATGATAACATTTATTAGTTGCTTACCGCGCATAGATGGCCTCAGCCTAAACCTTCCTCTGGAATCACTCTATCTATTAAAATAACCGCTTCATAATCTATTGTGTAGTTTTAAAGAAGGGACGGACAGACATCGACAGCGACTTTGTTTTATACTATGTAATGATATACCATAATAGAGTAAGCTGAGTAGAATGGAACGTATGTATTTATGGTAAAATTATTACTGAAAATATTGCTATCGCACTCGGATGAGGGGAGATGCAAGGTTTCTGAATAGAGATGGAATGTATACTGGATAATAAGTGTAGAAAACCAGCAAATAATAATAATAATAATCTCAGGACAATTGACACAGCGCCATCTAGACCCAAGTTAAGCTAGCTAAAGCTTGTGTTATGGGTACTAGACAACTGATACATAGATATTTTTTTTTCGTAAATACATACATATTATACATAGAAAACACCCAGACCTATACAAACAATCATACTCATGAATACAAAATTTTGTGCCGTGCGAGGAATCGAACCCGCGGTAAAGCGGTGTACTAGACCGCTAGACCACCGAGGTCGTCAAAAGCAAAGAAAATTTAGTATAAATAATAATAATAATAATTTAAACATATAATCCCCGTGATAAGGGAGATATATAAAATATACACAAATAACAAGAATAATAATAATAACATACATACATACACACACTCAAACATACACACATACTGCACTTATTTGGTTTCGGCCCGTAAGTGTGGAGAAAACTAGCAAAAGCTGAGAAAATGTAGAGTAAATAATAATAATAAGTAATATTTGTATAATAAAGTTTGGGCCCGTAACTGTGGTATACCCTACAAGGCGTAAAATGCCAGAAAAAGTTTATATATATATACTAGCTGTCCCGGCAACATTGTTTTGCCTTAAAATAAAAAAAAAAAAATTAGGGGTGGATTACCCCTAACATTTAGGGGGATGAAAAATAGATGTTGGCCGATTCTCAGACCTACTCAATACGCTCACAAAATTTCATGAGAATCGGTCAAGCCATTTCGGAGGAGTATGGGAACGAAAACTGTGACACGAGAATTTTATATATAAGAATAAACGAAAAAAAAAACTTAATAAGAAAAATATAAAGAACAATAACAACAAGGAATCTCACTATATGAATAGAATAACAACTCATTTATTCAATTAAACTTAATTTAAGCACTTTTGAATACTCATATCCTTCTTTTAATTTACCGCTCTTCGGAAAGTCGTCTCATCACAAGAGGAATGAGCAAGAAACTCGCGTGTTGCTCTTTTAAATAAGCATTGTAACTTTACATTTTTAAGTCGAACCGAGTGAATACAAACTACCAACTAGTATTAATTTATTAGGATCAAATATTAATCTATACATATAAATAAAATTGGAGTGTCTGTTTGTAATATTGAAATAACCGTTTTTTACTACATGCATATGAATATAAATGCGGTACATACACCAAAATATTTTTCTTTTACAATTTTTGTCTGTCTGTTTGTTCCGGCTAATCACTGAAATGGCTCGTCTGACTGACGGGACTTTTTTTGGCAGGTAGCTGTTGTAATATGGAGTAATTAAGGCTACTTTTATTTTAGAAAAATAAAGGTAAATTCCACACGGACGAAGTTGCGAGTACAGCTAGTATACAATAGTGATTAGAGCGAGTCCCTACAAGCAGCACTCGTTAATAAACAAGAATAAATGATATTTAAACTTATAAGTTATTCCTTGCGAAAGTCTTTTTTTTTTTTTTTTTTCGGACTACTCTAATGCTGCGGTGTGGAGCGCCCGTTTGGGCGCGCGCAGGCGCCCGGTTGAATGCGCGATATTGTGTGTTTGAGGTCGTCGTCTTCGCCGGCGAGGACGGTGTCGTGTGTGTGTGTAAAAGTGTGGTCGGGGTGGAACGGGTGGGCCCGTGGGGAGGTTACCTGCCGTTATGGGGTCGTCGGGGTCAATGAGAACGTGCCTCGGGCGACGTTGTCGCGTATGTCGGATATTACTCCTCGGTGCGTAGTCGACCGCACTGACTATAAGCGGATTAGGGTGGGATTGGGCAGAGTCGAAGTAGCGTCGAGACGCTTCCTTCATAAACTGCTTGATGGAGGGCAGATTAAGATCGCGGTGGAGATCTACGCTGCGAACGAACCACGGCGCACCGGTGGCTCGACGCAGAAACCTATTCTGAATGACCTGCAGTCTGTTGATTAAGCAGTAGGGTATGTGGGCGAATACGGGACTAGCGTAGGTCATGATGGGACGGATGCAAGCCTTGTATAATGTCAGCTTGTTGCGAAGCGACATTTTACTGTGCTTGTTAATAAAAGGATAGAGTCGCCCTAGTATAAAGGCGGCTCGGTCGCGGACACGCTTGATGTGAGGACGAAACGTTAGTTTCCTATCTAGGGTGACGCCGAGATATTTCGTTTTCGAAACCCACGGGATGTTTTGGCCGAATAGTTCGATCGGGTGATTCATAGAGTCGAATTCCCTGCTAAAGTACACTGCTGCACTTTTTTCGGGATTGACTTCTATGCGCCACCGACGGAACCATTCGCCCAGTATCGTTACGGCTTTCTGAAGCCGTCTGGCTATTGTCGCACGGGACTTGGCGGATGTAAAGAGAGCCGTGTCATCGGCAAACAGCGATATTTCGACTTTTAAGTCGGAGAATTTGGGGATGTCGTTGGTGTACAACGAGTAGAGCATCGGAGAGAGGACGGCGCCCTGAGGGACGCCGGCTCGTATGGGGTGCGGGTCGGATAACGCTCCGTTTATACGGTAGCGATAAGAGCGATTCGACAGGAAATCTCGTACAATGAGTACTAGCCTGTCGGGGACACCTAACTGATGAAGCTTGTAAATCAAGCCGTTGTGCCAGACTTTATCGAAAGCCTTAGCCACATCGAAAAATAGGACGCCTGTACCGCCTTTGGGGGACTTGGTGGCGAAGTACAGAGTGTTTTTGTGAATGTGCTCCGTGATGCGGTGCACTTGATGGACGCATGAGTGTTTGGCTCGGAAGCCAAACTGCTCATTGATGAGCAGGCCTTTGGAGTATATAAACTCCTTTAGGCGGGCGAGGAGGATTCGCTCGTACAGCTTGCCTATAGCCTTGAGGAGGCTGATAGGACGATAACTGGACGGGTCGGATTTATTTTTACCGGGCTTGGGGATGCCAATGACCACGGCTTCTTTCCAGCTGTCTGGAAATATAGCGTTGGACAGCGCCGCGTTAAAAATAGCGACGAGTAATAACAAAAGTTGGGATGGCAGACTTTTGACTAATCTATTCGATATGCCGTCTGAGCCGGGTGATTTTTTGATAGGTAGTTGTTTAACTAGCGTTTTGACCTCATCAAGCGTGACTGGTGAGAGGGATTCGGTGGGCGGGGTGGACGCGATGCGTTCGACTTCGGTGTCTATCTTCTCGAGATGACCTGCCTCGACTGGGAGCGTGCTGGGGGAGCATTGGGCTTCTAAGTTGGACGCTAGACACTCAGCCTTGTCTTCGTCGAAGAAGGCTATAGTGTTGTCGGGTCGGACTAGCGGGGGCATGTCGTTTGTCTGTTGGTCGGTTTTGAGAGATTTCGCTATGCGCCAGTACGCGGTGTGGCATGGCGTTATCTCTTCTAGGAGCTTGCCCCACCGGCCGTCCCGGATCTGCGCGATGCGCTCCTTAACGCTACGCTGTAAGGCTCGCAGGCGCACCCGGTTCGGTTCGGAGGGGTAGCGATCGTACGCTCTAGTGGCTGCGTTCTTATCGCTTATTAACCTCCTTACGTCATCGGGGAGCTGCCAGCGACGGTCGTCCGTCGCCGGTACCTCCCTGGAGCAGTCCTTGACTGCCGACTGCAGGTGGTTAGTAAGCGAGTCGATCGCAATGAGAGTGTCCTCGGTGGACTCTATGACGTCGGGAATACGGTTTAGTATCGGTGTGTCGGTCGATTCGAGAGATTTCTCGAGTCGTTGCCAGTCTGTTATTGTTTTGGTTGGTAGTGGCGTGTCGGGCGGAGGGCCCAGAAGGAGGGTTACCGGTCGATGGTCCGAGTTAAGCTCGGCATGGACTTCTGGGGAGCTCACCCGTAGGGTTACGTTCCTCAGCAGTGCCATGTCCAGTATGTCGGGTCGGTGGTTCACGTTATGGGGATAATGAGTAGGGCGGAGCGGGGCGATTATCTCGAATTCGAGCGAGTCGGCTAGTCTGTCTAGTTTGTGGCCGTTTGTCGTGGACACGTGGCAGTTCCAGCGGGTGTGTTTACAATTCAAATCGCCAGCCAGAATGGTGGCGCTGTTGATATCTAGGAGGGCGCGTAGGTCGCTTTCCAGCAGTAGTTTGCCGGGAGGCTGATATACGGATGCCACGGCGAGCGGTCGGTGGCCGGTCATGCCGAGAAGACAGACGGAGGCCTCCATATGAGTGAGAGGCGGTGTTTGTAGCGGTATACAATGTAGGGACCGTTTATAGTATATGAGCGTACCGCCGCCTCTACAGGCGGTGCGGTCGTTCCTAACTAAGTTGTAATTGGCGATTCTAGGATCGCGGACTGAACGTTTCAGTAGGGTCTCCTGCACGAGGAGAATATCGACTTGGTGGTCAGTGAGAAAGGAGGCGATTTCCTCCTTTTGTTTTTTTAATCCGAACGCGTTAAAAAACGCTATTCGAACGGACCGAGGCTTTTCTCTCTGAGCTCGAGTACCCATAATTACAGGTTAAAATTGAGGATGGCGGTAAGTACGCCGATGTGCTCGCAGACGGCTGCGAGCCTATTTTGGGGCGACTCCTTATACAGGCGGAGCTTGGAGGCCAGAAGGGCAATCTCGTTAGGGTCGATGGTGCTGGCTAAGCGAGCGACCAATGCGAAGTCCTGCGCGAGGGAGCTGCCGTTGGCCTTGGGGGCCGCGGGCAGTGTTTTGGGGACGGGTTTGTGTATGGGCATGGGCGGGGCCGATTGGGCGGGCGGGGCCGACTGGGCGGGCGGGGCTTTCTGGGCGGGCGGGTTGGGTGCTACCTTGCTTACAATTGCCGGGGGTTTAATCCAGGCATTGTTAGCAGGCAGAGGGGCGGGTACGAGTGGCTCGGGTTGTGTTTGAGCCTTGGCGGGGGCACGTGCCGGAGCACGGTTGCCCTGGGTGTGGGTGGCCTTCTTTTTGGCGGGACGTGGGGCGCGTGAACAACCGCGGTAATTCGCGGTGTGACCCTCTGTGAGGCAGAGGGTGCAACTGGGGGGCGTGGGGGTGTTGGGCCTACGGCCGCAATCTGCGGTGGCGTGATCGCCTAGGCACTTGACGCACCGTGGGCGAGCGAAACAATTACGGGCAGAGTGCCCGTAGTTCTGACAACGGTGGCATTGTCCGGGGTAGGTACGCTTGCGAGGCGCCTCTACGGAGAGTGAGGATAGTTGGCAAACGCTCTTTATATCAAAGATCGATTTGCCTTCTGGGGATAAGTCTAATACGACTAGAACAAGGTCGATAGCGGCCTTGTTGCGTGAGCGCGACTGGTACATACGATGTACCTCGTGCGCTGGGTAATTCTGGGACTGAAGGTCCTCAAGGATGGAGTCTGTTGAGAGCTCCTTGGGTAAACCGCGTATTACAACGCGGAGCTTTTTCTCTTCCTCGAGAGCATAGGTGTGATAACCTATGTTTTTCTCCCGCAGGAAGGTGGTGAGACGACGATGGTCGTCAGATGATGGGACTGATACTTTGATCCCTATTGAGGTAGCCTTAGCATGGCTGAAATTGATATGCTTGTTTTTAAGCATATTGGATACGGTGTTCCAGGCACTTTTGTCCTGGATGATGACGGGGGCGGGGCTTTGGTCTCGGGGTGCGACTTGCGTGCACTCGGACCGGGGGCGGTTTTAGCGGTGCCGTCATGGGCACGCTTTGTTTTGGCTGGCTGGGAGCCCTGGGTCTTCTTGGCACGCTTGTTGCCAACAAGAATAAAATCGTCCTCGTCTGAGGAGACCGGGGGGATGGGAGAGGGGACGTCGCCGTCGCGGATGGCGTCGAGCTCCATACTAGGAGCGTCAAGCTCCGCGACGGAGTCGTCCTGCTCCATGGCGGGCGAGGCGGGTTCGGCCTGGTCGGCTTGGGTCGGGGGAAGCGGCGGGAGCCGTTGCGAGTCGTCCTCGAATTCGTCAGTGTCAGTGTTCGGTTCGTCAGTGTGAGTCATCATTGGGGACGCGGGGGGCGAGCTGTACACTAAGTGGACGGGCTTGGCGGCTTTGAATGCTATAAAAGCATTTAAGATGCCGGGACACTTTTTTTCCAGGAACTGGAAGAACAGAGGCATATCGGCCTCTGATAAGGACATTTTTTTGAACAGTGGTAATGTTAATTACCACTGTTCAAAAGAATAGAATAAGAGTAGAAATAGTAATATAAAACAATACAATAACAATACAACACAATAACAATACAATACAATGAAACAATAGGGTAAGTCAGTACTTAAGATAAGGACGGTCGTCGGCGGGTGCAGCCGACGGTGTCAGCGGGGGCCTCCCTGCCGGGTGAGGCAGGGGGGTGAGTGCCTATTGATATGTGACCCTAATATGTAAGATCACTAATCTTATTGAGTGAAAAATGTGTACCTAAGCGAACCTACTTGGTGGCGTCGGCGGCGGGCGGCAGGCAGCAGGCGTCGGCGGGTGTTGGTGGCAGCGGCGGCGGCTCGGATCGGCGCGTCGCGCAATAGGCGTGACGCACCTCCCTAACTCACGACAGTCCGTGCCACTGAACGTCCACACACAACACTTCACTTCACTTGAACGAAGAGAGTTTCTCCTTCAGTCCTCACAACACAACACAACACTACACACGCGGAAAGTCCGGTAGCACTGTGTCGGAACGGATGCCGAGAGCGCGGTCGGCCGCGGTCGGCGCGGGACACGGAGGCCCCGGGCCACGCTAGGTGCACCGAGTGCACCTAACACGCGGCGAAGTATAAAAATAAGAACGCGCGAACGTAACTGCGCTACGTGCGCGCGCGCGGTGGTTTGCTCGAGGGAGCAGAGAACAGCGAGACGGCAGCGGGACTAGCGAGCACAAGACGGCTGGCTTCGGCCCGCTCGAATATGTCGGAACGAATTCATGATCGACATGGCCTTACTGGATATACTTGGAACTTTTGACGCGGTGACGAATAAGAACGCGCGAACGTAACTACGGCCGCGCTACGCCCCGACGTGCGCGCGCGCGGTGGTTGATCGCGCGCGCGGTGGTTTGCTCGAGGGAGCAGAGAACAGCGAGACGGCGGCGGGACTAGCGAGCACATACGTGCGTTCGCTAGCGCGTCGGTCAGCGGAATGAGAAAAACAGGCAGCGAGCATTCCCGAGGACTAGCCTTTTTCTCGGTCGCGCCGGCACCGACGCGTTCCACATAGTTGCCCTTGCGCAGCAGCCTATGGATACGGCCCACCGGGAACTGGAGACCGGCACGAGCTGATCGAGACTTTGCCTTCCCCTTCACTTTACCGCCTTTGCCGCGACCGGACATGACGAATGATAATTATTATTTAAATATAGTATAGTAAAATACAGTAGGCGTCCGAACGATCGAACAGTATATTGTGGAATGAAAAAACAGGCAGCGAGCATTCGCGTATATATAGGCGGCGGGCCGAAGGGTGCGCGGCATGCGCTCACGGTGGGAAACGGAGTGAAAGAGACGGGAGACGACGGACGGACGGACGGACGAGCGACATAGATGAAAACAAACAAAACATGTAGTAAAATTATCAATTCGCAATTCGCATTAAGTTATGATTATGATTATGATTTGAATGGAATGGAATGGTATGGAATCGAATCGAGTCGGGCAGTCGGGCGGAGAGAGGTCTGCGCGGGCCGTTTGTTTATATAATATAATATAATATAATATAATATATACAATCGTGGTGGTCGTGATATTAAGAAAAATATTGAATTGAATAAATTAAGAAGAAGAAGAGCGCGAGTTGGGACGTATGGGAGAGATATATAGGTATGTATGTATGTATGTATGTATGTATGTATGTATGTATGTATATACATACATACATACGTATGGTGCTACTAGTACAGTAGTACTACCGTGTACATATTAGCGACGCCTCCGACGGAAACGAGTTCGGTTTCAGAATATATTGTTAGCCCTGAAAAGGGCTTTTTGGTTGTTGCTATACGCGACGCGTCGCCCCCGTAGCCGTGGCGCCCCACCCGCCACCGACCAACCAAACAAAACCAACACACCCACGAGCCAACGCAAGTGGCGGGGGTGGTGGATCCGTGGATCAGTGGCAGACGAGTCGGTCGGTCGGTCGGTCGGTCGGTCGGTCATCCGGCAGGCACACCACCACCACCGAGAGGTTCCTCCGCTCCGGCCGATTACTTCTTGGCGGCTGCGGCTTTCTTAGCGGCGGGCTTCGACTTGGGCGCGGCGGCCGCCTTCTTGGGTTTGGGAGCTTTCGGCTTCTTGGTGGGCGGCTTGGCGGTCTTCTTGGCCTTGGGCGCGGCGCCGCCCTTGGCCTTCGCCGGCGTGGCGGCCTTCTTCGGGGCGGGCTTCTTCTTGGCGGCTGCAGCCTTTTTGTCCCTTATGGCGGCCTTCGATTTCGCCGGTGAGGCGGAGGACGAGGCGGCAGAGGCGCCGGCCTTCTTAGCCTTGCCGCCGGCGGAGGCGGCAGCGGTCTCCTTCTTTTTAGACTTCGCCGAAGCGGACGCCGCCGACGAACCCCTGGCGCCTGCGGTCTTGGCCGACGCCGGCTTCTTCTTCTTGCTCGCAGTCGTAGACTTGGACTTGTCGAGCTTGAACGATCCGGACGCGCCCTGGCCCTTAGTCTGGATCAACGCTCCGGACTCGACTGCGCTCTTCAGATACTTCCTGATGAACGGCGCCAGCTTTTCGGCGTCGACCTTGTACTGCGCGGCTATATACTTCTTGATAGCCTGCAGGGAGGATCCGCTGCGCTCCTTCAGCTCTTTGATGGCGTTGTTCACCATCTCGGAGGTCTTCGGGTGCGTGGGTTTAGCTTTCGCCTTCTTGACGCCGGGTGCGGACGCGGAGGACTTCGGCTTCTTCGCAGGGGTCGCCGGTGCGGGCGCCTCTGATGCTACAGCTGTGTCGGCCATGATAACGTAACGTAACGTAACGTAACGTAAAATACGAAAATACGAAGATAGTTTATTAAATTAGGGTACGAAATGTATAATTTCAATACAATTTTTTTTCAAAAAGGTCCCATTTCAACTCTGGCAATACCCTATCGAGAACACGCGTGCCGCTAGACGTTTTCTCGTACGATCACTTCCAACTTTTCACTAGCACGCGTCCGATTAATACAATCTAAAACATTATAATATCGACATTCGGACTCGGATAATTGGCGAGAGTGACATATTTGAGTTAATCTTCGACGACGACATACCGCAGAGTTCGTGCGGACCGCGTGCTCCGCGCTGGAACGTTATATTTCGGTCGTTGCGTATCGCGAGTACCTCGGGTCCACTTCAAAAGTTATTTTTCTTTATGAAACTCGACTTTTTCGTGTCTACGGGTCGATAGGCGAAGAGCGAAGATACCGTTCTTCGGAAGTATCGCAAATCGTCAAACATTACACCGTACACATGTGTATTTCGACCGTCTCAAGTAGAGGGTCGTAAAACAGCAAACGGCCAGTCAGTCGGTGTCAGGAACATACACATCTGCCCATTCGCAAGAATGCATCCTGCATTTAGGTATATATAAAAATACACTATCGCCACTGTAAACGGTGTAAACATTTACGGCGGTGAAATATAAATATATATTATTATATTGTATTTTTTCAGGTGGCCGTGATCCATCCGCGGGCAAGCGGCGGCGCACACCAGTATCGAGGGCGAGAATACTGTAGCCACACATCTTACAAGAGGAGCTGTGCGATGCATGCAAGTACACGTACAAGTAAGTGAAATTAAAATTAGTTAGTATAAATAATAATTATACGTTCTGAGAACGCCGATAAGAGGCAGTAAAACAACACTAAGACAGGCAGGTAGATAGATACAAACGTCTTTCGTACTACGTCGTACGTCGTCGTAATAACCCTCAGTTATATCAAATAAATAAATTATAATTATAATTATTAAATGACTAAACAGAGAGAGTGTTTTTATTAATAATATGTTACGTACGTACAACGTATCGTTCTAAAATATCCAGCCGTTTCACTAGTCTACTCTACTAAATGTATAGTGGAGAAAAAGTAGAAATAAAACCTAACCTAACCAAACCTAAACATGAAAGTTTTACTCATTTTTATTTGTTCGTGCGTGTACAATACAATACAATACAATACAATGCAATACGGTACGGTGAATTTGTATGTATAATATATAATATACACCACACATAATATGCGTGTATGTATGTATGTATGTATGTATGTAGACTAAATGCAAACCGACAACGATATCTATACCGCTCTCGGGAAACCGATTTGGATCTCACGAAAAGTTTGCGGCCCTGAGAAGGGCCTTTTTAGTTTCTTGTATCGCTTTGCTTTAAGTATACAGCTGAAATTAACGTTCCGTTGTATGCTCGCTACAATTCGATATATCGCCACCGCCGCTCCGCTAGTAAATTAACCGCCGAAACCGTACAGAGTACGGCCCTGGCGTTTCAGGGCGTAGACCACGTCCATGGCGGTGACGGTCTTCCTCTTGGCGTGCTCGGTGTACGTGACCGCGTCGCGGATCACGTTCTCGAGGAACACCTTCAGCACGCCGCGCGTCTCTTCGTATATCAGACCGGAGATACGCTTCACGCCGCCCCTGCGAGCCAAACGACGAATAGCCGGCTTGGTGATGCCCTGGATGTTATCGCGGAGCACCTTCCTGTGACGCTTGGCGCCACCTTTTCCCAGACCTTTGCCTCCCTTGCCGCGACCGGTCATTTTTCAATAGAGTAGGATCTAATTTGACGCACTGCGAACGGAACGTAACGTAAAGTAACGTAACTGCTATGCTGATCGAAAAGCGGCGCGCGGTCCCATTTATACCCACCTCGACGGCCCCCTCCCGCAAGCCCGCGTTTCCCCCGTACCTCGTCCCCCGACCTCGAGCCCTCGTCCCGCGACCTGCGATCTCGAAGCAAAATCTCTTATTTATTTATTTTTATATAGAATATTATTATTATTTATAATTATATTTGTCGATTACTACGGTCGTCTAATTAATAATATAATAATCTAATCTAATAAAGAATAAATACATAGCATTTATTATATCGGACAATTCAACCAAACGCAAATTATGTACATAGATAATAATCGTTACATGTAAAAATTGAGTACTACGACAATAAAGAACATCATACAGCCATTCGCCTATATTCGGACTATATTCAGTATACCATAGGATATGTGCCCTGTGAAAGCGTTTTTTTTTTTTTTTTTGTTTATTCAAAAGACGTGACCTGAATATACGTACGTAGATGATATACAACTAATTAACTGTGTCTACTGACTACACCGCACTACTGCTCACCCTCTCGTCTACACTCTACAGCAATAATATAAGTTAATTAGTTTAAATTGACGACACAAAATAAGCAATACTAAATTCAATCAAGTAAATGAATGAATGAATCGATTCGGTTTTTACGTCGTTGACAAGTTAAACTAGACAGTGATCTCAACGAACGGAAACGTTAACAAAGTACAGAAAACATTTGTGGCCCTGAAAAGGGCCTTTTGTGTGTGTGTGTGTGATAATATTCTTCTTCTCCTCTCCTATACACCACCGTCGTACCGTGTACGTGACACGCGTATACGGCGCGTATACGACTGTCACGACCACGATCACGACGAGAGAGTCGAAGTCCAATACGAAGTGACGACAAGCTCAAGCACGTTCGCCTCTGATACGGCGGGCGAGCTGGATGTCCTTCGGCATGATGGTGACGCGTTTAGCGTGGATGGCGCAAAGGTTGGTGTCCTCGAAGAGACCGACCAGATACGCCTCGCTGGCCTCCTGCAAAGCCATCACAGCGGAACTCTGGAAACGTAGATCAGTCTTGAAGTCCTGAGCGATCTCGCGGACCAGACGCTGGAAAGGCAGCTTGCGGATCAGCAGCTCGGTGCTCTTTTGGTAGCGACGAATCTCACGCAGGGCCACGGTGCCGGGCCTGTAACGATGCGGCTTCTTGACACCACCGGTGGCCGGTGCGCTCTTGCGGGCCGCTTTGGTCGCCAACTGTTTTCGTGGAGCCTTGCCACCGGTCGATTTACGGGCGGTCTGCTTTGTACGTGCCATGGCGGTTTATAATAAGACTGTGAACTTGACCGACGAACGAACGGACGGCGGAACGGAACGTGACGAGACGGAGAGCGTTCAGACAGAGAATGAAGCGCAAGCGCCTAATGCCCGGTTATTTATAGAGCGAGCGCACCCGATCTCTCTCCCTCTCGTTCACGGCGCACTTTCATATGTACCATCTCTTTCGCTCTCTGTGTCTGCTGTACTATATAATGTGAAATACATTATAAAATGTTACAAAACGAAATATTATTATTATTATTATTATAATTATTTTAATGATTAATGATTACAACAATTAATTAACGTACGTATAATTACGTTTTACGTGTTTGTATGTACACACCTATGTACAATACATGCGTACATGCGGACATGCGTGCGTACATGCGTATTGTACATACATACATATTTATTTATGCGACAAATCGATCTCGAAGTCATACGTTACATTACATTATTATAATCGATCTCCCACATGTACTCACAGAAATATCAGTAACCCCGTCCCTAGTCATGCATGCATACGTACATACACCGATTATTTTAAATTAAAATTTATAATATATATATATATATATATAATATTATAATAAATGAATAATTGCACACGCTAAATGCGGAATCAAAGCGGACGGCGGCAATGCATCTTTCATCTTACAGCAGTAGTATAAATAATCACTAAGTAATTTTATGATGTGTATTATTAATATATTGAATATATTATAAGAGACGGTGAACACCTCCGACATAGAAACTTTAAATGCGAACAGTTTTGCGGCCCTGAAAAGGGCCTTTTGTTTTGTTTGGTCGGTTTGACGAATGAGCAGCAGCACGAGCACCTCACTTCGAGCTGGTGTACTTGGTGACGGCCTTGGTGCCCTCACTGACGGCGTGCTTGGCGAGCTCCCCGGGCAACAGCAGCCTCACGGAAGTCTGCACCTCCCTGGAGGTGATAGTGGACCTCTTGTTGTAGTGGGCGAGACGGCTGGCTTCGGCGGCGATGCGCTCGAATATGTCGTTCACGAACGAATTCATGATCGACATGGCCTTACTGGATATGCCCGTGTCGGGGTGGACCTGCTTCAGCACTTTGTAGATATAGATGGCGTAGCTCTCCTTCCTCTTGTGCTTCTTCTTTTTCTTGTCGGTCTTGGAGATGTTCTTTTGAGCCTTTCCTGACTTCTTGGCGGCCTTACCGCTGGTCTTGGGCGGCATGATCGAGTAGGAGTAGGTTGACGAATCAAATGAAACTATACGAGACGCGAGTACGTGTTAACGTGCACGAGTCACAATTGGTAATGTTCGTGTTACGGCCGCGCCTCCGTTTTAAATACGCCCCGACCGGCGACCGTAGCACCCGGTAACGACCGCACTGATCCCCGCCGGCACCGGACGTCGGCGCGCCTCTCGACCAATCGCGTGATCGCGCGCGTCGTCCCTAGTTTCTACGCTTCTGTACGGATATATTATTATATATATATATCGGTACGGAATAATAAAAAATAATAATGTAATGAATAATAAATTAATTAATTGATATGACCCATAATAATCGTCTCAATGAACTTAAAATCAATAAATGAAATTGATAATAATATTGCCGTAATTAAATTAATTTATAAAATTTGTTCTTTGTTTTTTTTTTTGTTGTTGTCGTTGTTTATGTATGAGAGACCATGAGACATACGGGTCGCAAATACACATATGCACGCCCCATGATCAATTATTATGTACCTATCTATTATAGCAGAAAATAATGCATGTTTATTATTTTAATGCGCGAATGAATGACCGATTGTTATTTCATACATAACACACAACGCTACCCGCTGAATGGACGCACAAAGCGTACGTGCATATACGTAAATACAATATAATGTTCGAATACTTTAAAACGTAAACAACTACCTCGCTACGGAAACGAGCGTAAAACAGTGCAGATGTATGTTGCGGCCCTGAAAAGGGCCTTTTTAATTTGTTCAATCACCATCAATCAAACCTAATCCCGAAGACTGAGGAGAGAGGAGAGAGCTTCGTCGAGTTACAAGACTTAAGCCTTTTTCTCGGTCTTCTTGGGCAGGAGCACAGCCTGTATGTTCGGCAGTACGCCTCCCTGAGCTATGGTCACGCCGGAGAGTAGCTTGTTCAACTCCTCGTCGTTCCTTATGGCGAGCTGCAAATGTCTCGGTATGATCCTGGTCTTCTTGTTGTCCCTCGCCGCGTTGCCGGCCAACTCGAGCACTTCGGCGGCCAGGTATTCCATGACGGCCGCTAGGTACACGGGGGCGCCGGCACCGACGCGTTCCGCATAGTTGCCCTTGCGCAGCAGCCTATGGATACGGCCCACCGGGAACTGGAGACCGGCACGAGCTGATCGAGACTTTGCCTTCCCCTTCACTTTACCGCCTTTGCCGCGACCGGACATGACGAATGATAATTATTATTTAAATATAGTATAGTAAAATACAGTAGGCGTCCGAACGATCGAACAGTATATTGTGGAATGAAAAAACAGGCATTTTTTTTTTTTTTTTTTTTTTTTTTCGGACTACTCTAATGCTGTTGGCCGTAGCTGGCCTTTACAGCTTCACCGGACGTTATGGGGCGAGTGCAGATGGCACTCCAAACCCGCGGAAGGACTTATGGAGCGGCTGAAGGCCAACTCCTGCCCGACGGATACGACTTTAGTCTGAGGGCACCACTAGGGGTTCGAACCTCGGCTCAGGCCGTCGTAATTTCGATCCCCGTTTGAATTGGACGGGGGATCGATCGGAGGGGCGCCCGGGGGCGCCGGTGTGGAGCGCCCGGGCGCGCGCAGGCGCCCGGTTGAATGCGCGATATTGTGTGTTTGAGGTCGTCGTCTTCGCCGGCGAGGACGGTGTCGTGTGTGTGTGTAAAAGTGTGGTCGGGGTGGAACGGGTGGGCCCGTGGGGAGGTTACCTGCCGTTATGGGGTCGTCGGGGTCAATGAGAACGTGCCTCGGGCGACGTTGTCGCGTATGTCGGATATTACTCCTCGGTGCGTAGTCGACCGCACTGACTATAAGCGGATTAGGGTGGGATTGGGCAGAGTCGAAGTAGCGTCGAGACGCTTCCTTCATAAACTGCTTGATGGAGGGCAGATTAAGATCGCGGTGGAGATCTACGCTGCGAACGAACCACGGCGCACCGGTGGCTCGACGCAGAAACCTATTCTGAATGACCTGCAGTCTGTTGATTAAGCAGTAGGGTATGTGGGCGAATACGGGACTAGCGTAGGTCATGATGGGACGGATGCAAGCCTTGTATAATGTCAGCTTGTTGCGAAGCGACATTTTACTGTGCTTGTTAATAAAAGGATAGAGTCGCCCTAGTATAAAGGCGGCTCGGTCGCGGACACGCTTGATGTGAGGACGAAACGTTAGTTTCCTATCTAGGGTGACGCCGAGATATTTCGTTTTCGAAACCCACGGGATGTTTTGGCCGAATAGTTCGATCGGGTGATTCATAGAGTCGAATTCCCTGCTAAAGTACACTGCTGCACTTTTTTCGGGATTGACTTCTATGCGCCACCGACGGAACCATTCGCCCAGTATCGTTACGGCTTTCTGAAGCCGTCTGGCTATTGTCGCACGGGACTTGGCGGATGTAAAGAGAGCCGTGTCATCGGCAAACAGCGATATTTCGACTTTTAAGTCGGAGAATTTGGGGATGTCGTTGGTGTACAACGAGTAGAGCATCGGAGAGAGGACGGCGCCCTGAGGGACGCCGGCTCGTATGGGGTGCGGGTCGGATAACGCTCCGTTTATACGGTAGCGATAAGAGCGATTCGACAGGAAATCTCGTACAATGAGTACTAGCCTGTCGGGGACACCTAACTGATGAAGCTTGTAAATCAAGCCGTTGTGCCAGACTTTATCGAAAGCCTTAGCCACATCGAAAAATAGGACGCCTGTACCGCCTTTGGGGGACTTGGTGGCGAAGTACAGAGTGTTTTTGTGAATGTGCTCCGTGATGCGGTGCACTTGATGGACGCATGAGTGTTTGGCTCGGAAGCCAAACTGCTCATTGATGAGCAGGCCTTTGGAGTATATAAACTCCTTTAGGCGGGCGAGGAGGATTCGCTCGTACAGCTTGCCTATAGCCTTGAGGAGGCTGATAGGACGATAACTGGACGGGTCGGATTTATTTTTACCGGGCTTGGGGATGCCAATGACCACGGCTTCTTTCCAGCTGTCTGGAAATATAGCGTTGGACAGCGCCGCGTTAAAAATAGCGACGAGTAATAACAAAAGTTGGGATGGCAGACTTTTGACTAATCTATTCGATATGCCGTCTGAGCCGGGTGATTTTTTGATAGGTAGTTGTTTAACTAGCGTTTTGACCTCATCAAGCGTGACTGGTGAGAGGGATTCGGTGGGCGGGGTGGACGCGATGCGTTCGACTTCGGTGTCTATCTTCTCGAGATGACCTGCCTCGACTGGGAGCGTGCTGGGGGAGCATTGGGCTTCTAAGTTGGACGCTAGACACTCAGCCTTGTCTTCGTCGAAGAAGGCTATAGTGTTGTCGGGTCGGACTAGCGGGGGCATGTCGTTTGTCTGTTGGTCGGTTTTGAGAGATTTCGCTATGCGCCAGTACGCGGTGTGGCATGGCGTTATCTCTTCTAGGAGCTTGCCCCACCGGCCGTCCCGGATCTGCGCGATGCGCTCCTTAACGCTACGCTGTAAGGCTCGCAGGCGCACCCGGTTCGGTTCGGAGGGGTAGCGATCGTACGCTCTAGTGGCTGCGTTCTTATCGCTTATTAACCTCCTTACGTCATCGGGGAGCTGCCAGCGACGGTCGTCCGTCGCCGGTACCTCCCTGGAGCAGTCCTTGACTGCCGACTGCAGGTGGTTAGTAAGCGAGTCGATCGCAATGAGAGTGTCCTCGGTGGACTCTATGACGTCGGGAATACGGTTTAGTATCGGTGTGTCGGTCGATTCGAGAGATTTCTCGAGTCGTTGCCAGTCTGTTATTGTTTTGGTTGGTAGTGGCGTGTCGGGCGGAGGGCCCAGAAGGAGGGTTACCGGTCGATGGTCCGAGTTAAGCTCGGCATGGACTTCTGGGGAGCTCACCCGTAGGGTTACGTTCCTCAGCAGTGCCATGTCCAGTATGTCGGGTCGGTGGTTCACGTTATGGGGATAATGAGTAGGGCGGAGCGGGGCGATTATCTCGAATTCGAGCGAGTCGGCTAGTCTGTCTAGTTTGTGGCCGTTTGTCGTGGACACGTGGCAGTTCCAGCGGGTGTGTTTACAATTCAAATCGCCAGCCAGAATGGTGGCGCTGTTGATATCTAGGAGGGCGCGTAGGTCGCTTTCCAGCAGTAGTTTGCCGGGAGGCTGATATACGGATGCCACGGCGAGCGGTCGGTGGCCGGTCATGCCGAGAAGACAGACGGAGGCCTCCATATGAGTGAGAGGCGGTGTTTGTAGCGGTATACAATGTAGGGACCGTTTATAGTATATGAGCGTACCGCCGCCTCTACAGGCGGTGCGGTCGTTCCTAACTAAGTTGTAATTGGCGATTCTAGGATCGCGGACTGAACGTTTCAGTAGGGTCTCCTGCACGAGGAGAATATCGACTTGGTGGTCAGTGAGAAAGGAGGCGATTTCCTCCTTTTGTTTTTTTAATCCGAACGCGTTAAAAAACGCTATTCGAACGGACCGAGGCTTTTCTCTCTGAGCTCGAGTACCCATAATTACAGGTTAAAATTGAGGATGGCGGTAAGTACGCCGATGTGCTCGCAGACGGCTGCGAGCCTATTTTGGGGCGACTCCTTATACAGGCGGAGCTTGGAGGCCAGAAGGGCAATCTCGTTAGGGTCGATGGTGCTGGCTAAGCGAGCGACCAATGCGAAGTCCTGCGCGAGGGAGCTGCCGTTGGCCTTGGGGGCCGCGGGCAGTGTTTTGGGGACGGGTTTGTGTATGGGCATGGGCGGGGCCGATTGGGCGGGCGGGGCCGACTGGGCGGGCGGGGCTTTCTGGGCGGGCGGGTTGGGTGCTACCTTGCTTACAATTGCCGGGGGTTTAATCCAGGCATTGTTAGCAGGCAGAGGGGCGGGTACGAGTGGCTCGGGTTGTGTTTGAGTTTGAGCCTTGGCGGGGGCACGTGCCGGAGCACGGTTGCCCTGGGTGTGGGTGGCCTTCTTTTTGGCGGGACGTGGGGCGCGTGAACAACCGCGGTAATTCGCGGTGTGACCCTCTGTGAGGCAGAGGGTGCAACTGGGGGGCGTGGGGGTGTTGGGCCTACGGCCGCAATCTGCGGTGGCGTGATCGCCTAGGCACTTGACGCACCGTGGGCGAGCGAAACAATTACGGGCAGAGTGCCCGTAGTTCTGACAACGGTGGCATTGTCCGGGGTAGGTACGCTTGCGAGGCGCCTCTACGGAGAGTGAGGATAGTTGGCAAACGCTCT